TAGGGACATGTAGGGACGTATAGGGACCCATAGGGATGTATAGGGACCCATAGGGACCCATAGGGGCCCATAGGATCAGTGCCACCCAGGCAGCCGAGCTCTTACTGAACACATTGCCCATGGGGGAGCCATCAGTGCCCCATCGCTGCCCCATAACCACCCCACAACCACCCCATATTCCCCCATAACCACCCCATATCCCCCCATATCCCCCCATAACCACCCCATAACCGCCCCCCAAGTACCGGACTGGTCCTCGGTGGTGTTGGCCTCGTGGATCTGGTTGTCGAACCACATGTGTGCCCCATAACCACCCCCTATCACCCCATAACCACCCCATAGCCACCCCATATCACCCCATATCGCCCCATAACCACCCCATATCACCCCCTATCGCCCCATATCGCCCCCCAAGTACCGGACTGGTCCTCGGTGGTGTCGGCCTCGTGGATCTGGTTGTCGAACCACATGTGTGCCACAGTCATCCTGTTTTGGGTGAGGGTCCCGGTTTTGTCGGAGCAGATGGTGGACGTGGAGCCCAAGGTCTCCACCGCCTCCAGGTTCTTCACCAGGCAGTTCTTCCTCGCCATGCGTTTGGCCGTCAGCGTCAGGCACACCTGGGGGCGTTAATTAGGCAGCGGGGGGCGTTAATTAGGCAGCGGGGTCGTTAGCAGGGCGACGAGACGAGACGACAAAGTCAGGCCTGGGGGCACCGGGGCTAATTAGCGCGGGGTCATCGCTGAGGGCCGTGTGAGCGGCCTTCGGAGTCAGGCCCACCTGGGGGTAATTAATTAGCGGGGTCATTCATTAATTAGCGGGGTCATTAGCGAGGGGGCATGGCGCCCATCGCCGTCTATCGCTCCCATTGCTCTCTATCGCCCCCTGGTGTCCAGCCGGGAAACTGCGGGCAGGTATCGCAGCCAACCGACAAACGGGGCAGGACACTTAATGAGCGAGAGTTATTAGTGCTGTAATTAACGACTTATTAGCGCGGCGGTTAGTGGGCGAGGTCGTGAGTAGGTCGACTAATAAAGGACAATAAGTAATAAAGGGGAATAAGCATATTAATGAGCAGGACGTGGTGCTGCTCCCTGTTGCTCCCCATCGCCCCCTGGTGTCCAGCTGGGAAACTGCAGGCACACATAGGAGCTGATCAACGTGCGGAGCAATTAGTGAGCTCGACAGTTAACGAGTGGGGCTTATTACTGTGGTAATTAATCAGTGAGATCGGGAGTACGTTAATTAGCAAGTGGGATAATTGACGAGCGGGATAATTAAGGAGCAAGGTAACGAACATAGTGCTTTGTGACATAGATTGGTCTCTATCGCCCCCTGGTGTCCAGCTGGGAAACTGCAGGCACACACAGGAGCTGATCAACGTGCGGGGCAATTAGTGAGTTCGATAGTAAACCAGTGAGGCTTATTACTGTGGTAATTAATCAGTGAGATCGGGAGTGGGTTAATTAGCGAGTGGGATAATTGAAGAGCGGGATAATTAAAGAGCGAGATAACGAACGTAGCGCTTTGTGATAAAGATTGGTCTCTGTCGCCCCCTGGTGTCCAGCTGGGGAACTGCAGGCTATAAACAAACGAGCGCCGGGGCAATTAACGAGTGGGGTAATTAGGCTTACGGTGACGGTGGCCAGCAGCCCCTCGGGCACGTTGGCCACGATGATGCCGATGAGGAAGATGACGGCCTCGAGCCACGTGTAGCCCAGGATGAGGGAGAGCACGAAGAAGGAGATGCCGAGGAAGACGGCGACGCCGGTGATGAGCTGGATGAAATGCTCGATCTCCACGGCGATGGGGGTCTTCCCCACCTCCAGCCCCGACGCCAGCGTCGCGATGCGACCCATCACCGTGCGGTCCCCCGTGGCGATCACCACCCCCCGGGCTGTGCCTGTGGGGGGGGAGGGGGGCGGGGGGTCAGGGGGGGCTGCGGGGTG